TCCTGAGCAGGGGTCATGCGCACACATAGCATGTACGACGATTAGCTATGCTGAAGTCGGTGAAGGGAGGGTGCGACGGGTGCGAATGCAAGGCTTGCTGAAGGCCGAGTTCGTGGAGACAAGCTCCTGGGAACAACTTCCAATTCCAGAGGATCGGCCCGCTGCCGAAGCCGCCATCCGTGCCTTAAGTTTTGGCTTCTTCACGGGGGTTTATTATAATCAGGATCCCCCATCCCGAAAATTCCGACCTCGGGGGCCCTGGGCCGTCCGCTATCGCGGTGAACTCACATCTCGGCACACTGGCAGACATCAGCTTAGCCTGGCCGGCACGGGTCGATTCCGTTTGCTTGTGCGCGGCCAGTGCCTCATCGACGCAGTGGGAGCCTCGATTTCACTTGATTTTTACAAGACAGGACTCTATTGACTCTATACAGACTCTTACAAGAAGCATCTCTTCCGGTTTGCGTGCTTCTTTTCACGACCAGGAGACGGTGAGAGCCTCGAAATGGGTGGCTTTCTCGGGGATTTGGGAACGGAGCAGCGCGGGGAGCTGGAGCTTTCGGCTGGCGAGAAGGTGGAAGTGTGCGTGCTGTGGGCTCCCGGGCCCATCCGGCCTTCGCGGCTCCACCTCGGTTTTCGGCAGAAGCCCTGGGCCTCCGAAGCCGAGTTGCAGGCCGAAGCCACGGAGCTGGCGCGGAGCTGCGAGGCGGCGGTGGTGGTTTTGGGGTCTCCAGGCCAGGATTCCGAGGGCCGCGACCAGAGCTTCGAAGTCTGTGGCTTGGAGCTCGTCCGAGCTGTGGCCGCGGTACAGCCCCGGACGGTCGTGTGCCTGAACGTGGGAGCAGCAAAGCAGCTGCCGCCACAGCTTCTCAAGGCAGGTGCGGTGCTGGTCTGCTGGCTCGGTGGCCAAGAGGCCGCAGAGGGGCTTGCCAGGGTCTTATGCGGTGAGGGCTGGGGACCTTCGGGTCGGCTGCCTGCGACCTGGCCCTACAAGCTGGAGGACACAGCGACCGGCAAGAGCTTGAAGCGATACCCTGGTGTTGGAACTCAGGTCTTCTATTCCGAGGGTGTTCTGCTGGGACACCGCTGGTTCCAGAGCCAAGGCATTTCACCTCAATTCTGCTTCGGCCATGGCCTCGCCTACACCAGCTTCGAATACTCAGATGCAGAACTCAGAGAACTGAGAGGACCAGAATTTCAAAACCCCTTCGGGCCAAGGCCAAGGCCTCTTCTCTTCTTTTGGCTCTCTTTGCCTGGCAGGACCCGGACATCCCGGAGCCGATGCCAGTGGAGCCAGCGCATTCAAGCCGGAGGCCGAGCTGGAGCTGATGGTCCGGATCCGGAACTCTGGGGCCCGCCCGGGCAAAGAGGTCCTCCAGGTCTTTGCGGTGGCCCGGCTGCTTTTGCTTCTACCCTCCTCTAGGCCTCCAGGCCCCTGCTAGAACACCCTGCAACCAAAGCTCTCAATCCTAAAGACCCCTATGCCCTACGCCCGCCTGCGAGTGCCCTCCACGTCCTGGAACTGGCCCAGGAGCGGCGATCCGGTGCTGACGCGACCTGGCGGCTCCTGCTTGGCACCTCGGCTTTCGAGTTCCGAAACTGAGAAACAGGCGGGGGTCCAGGGGTTGACGGATTGCGGGGCTTTGGGGTTTCGGGCGGGCGTGGGAGGTTGACGGGCCGAGGGTTTAGGGCAGTTTAGTGGTTAAGGAGTTCGGGGTTCGTAGGGTTTCGGGGCTTTGCAGTTTCGGGCGGGTGTGGGAGGTTGACGGGCTGAGGGTTTAGGGCAGTTTAGGGGGATTTTGGGTTTTTGAGGGTTTCGGGGCTTTGCAGTTTCGAGCGGGTGTGGGAGGTTGACGGGCTGAGGGTTTAGGGCAGTTTAGGGGTTAAGGAGTTCGGGGTGTTTAGGGTTTCGGGGCTTTGGGGTTTCGGGCAGGTGTGGGAGGTTGACGGGCCGAGGGTTTAGGGCAGTTTAGTGGTTAAGGAGTTCGGGGTTCGTAGGGTTTCGGGGCTTTGCAGTTTCGGGCGGGTGTGCGAGGTTGACGGGCTGAGGGTTCAGGGCAGTTTACGGGGATTTTGGGTTTTTGAGGGTTTCGGGGCTTTGCAGTTTCGGGCGGGTGTGCGAGGTTGATTTGCTGAGGGTTTAGGGCAGTTTAGGGGTTAAGGAGTTTGGGGTGTTTAGGGTTTCGGGGCTTTGGGGTTTCGGGAGGTTGTAGGAGTTCGCGGCTTTGGGGTTTAGGTGCTGACGGGCTGAGGGTAGGTAGGGCCAGGGGTTAATTAGTACAGGGTTCAGGGATTCGGGGTTGCAGTCAGTGTTTGAGTGTGTCTGAGTGTGTCAGTCAGTCAGTGTGTCTGTGTGTGTGCGCGTGTGGGTGGGTGGCCTGTGTGCGCCGGGGTTTCGGAACATCTGCATGCCACAACCGCCGTAGCAAAAACAATACCTCAAGATTGTGAAGACGAGCTGCACATCCCAAACCTGCCAGAAGCCCAGGCTTCACAAAGGTTGCATTGCATCCTGGTGAGGTGCAAGTGGCAGTTCCTTGGCACAGAACAGATCGGCTTGGTGACCAAGCTTCATTCCCTTTCGAGGACACTCCCTGATGCAGGTCTAGTTTTCGATTGGTTTACAGCTACAACTTCAGCATCTGCGTAGACCTAGAGGTATTGGCAAGCACCCTGCGCGCAACAGGAGCGATGCTGCTCCTGTCCTAAGATTCAGATCCTAAAGACGGTCTGAAGGTTGCCAGTCTGTCCCAGATCCGAGCATGCCCGGAACCTGTGTCTGGAGTCTAGAATGCTCGTAAATACGGCAAAACTAAAGGTGGCGTTCTCTTTCGCTTGCTTCCCCTGTAGTCTGGATTCATCATGGCTTTCATGGTATTCCGTTTCTGTCGGAGCTGCAAAGGCCGTCAAGTTCCTGGCTCGGGAAGCTACGCGACATTGGTGCGAGAGAATGATGCCTGGCTGACAAGGGTTTGGGCCTGGGCCTGGGACGGAATAAGGATTTATCAGGATCCAAAGCGGTGGGTTTCTTGCCCATTGCCTGCTTGTCTCCCATGCATTTCGCGACGAGGCGCACCTGGGTGGTGGAGCCCTGCTGCGATGTGCTGATTGCATCGTCCGGGGAGGAGCAATGGCGAACCGTGCTGCGAATTGCTACCCCTGCCACTGCGTGAAAAAGTGGATGCAGCCCAGCCGGCTCACGTCGTGAAAGCTTCAGGCTTTCACAGAATTTCACAGTCTCATTTCGCAGACTTATTGCAATGTTTGCACCGGTCCGAAATCCTCCAGCTTTGAGCTGGTGGCACATGGCCGTGCATCCTAGTGACCTAGTGCATGTGTAGTATCGCTTGTACATCCTTTCGCATCCATGATCGAAACTATGTTACTTCTTGTGCTGCGGCAGGGAAACGACCGCACTTCATGCCACTACTTACTACTGCTGCTGCCGCTGCTCCTGCGACAGCCTCGACTCCATTACCAAACCTGGGGACTTCTATGAACCTACAGCATGAATGTGGGTGTTCTCATTGCCGTCCGCTCTCTGGAGCTTGACGCACAGGTCGGAGCTCCGGCGGCTTTTGCTTCCGGCTTCCACGGGCCTGGCCAACATGATGCCCTCTCCCGAGCTTTTCGGATCTTCGCGACATGTGGCTCCGTCGGCGTGGTTGTTCCTATCATCGGCAGCATGATCATTATCATCATTATCATCGGAGAGATGTCGTTGAGGGCGGGGCCCATTGCAAGTACTGAACCTTCGGCCACAGGCTTGGGCCTCCGGCCACTGCGGAAGAGCCGCCCAAAGTAAAGGAATCTAAGGAAGGCCGGCCAAGCCTTGCCTGTCGTGGTTGACCAGTGTATCTAGCGAGTTGATGACTGCATGAGAGCTCAGTGATGGAATGCCGGAAGTCAAGCTGGTCTTGGGTCAGCCGCCTTGAAAGCTAGTTCACATTTGGCATGAGCTGCTGGTACTGTCGCGCTTGTTGCCGACCCGGGCAGTTACCCTAAAGATCGGAGACAGCTTCGTTGCAGCTGCCTCGGCTTACAATGACTTGCTTCGTGCAATTTCAGAAAAGGGAGGCTAATGGTTGCTGCGTCTAGTTCAGAAAGCTATGATGGCATTGGGGTCCCAGGGCGAGAGAAGGACAGATAGGCAGATAGACATGGATGGACGGCCAGACAGAGACACAGACAGACAGACGGACGGACGGACGGACGGACGGACGGACGGACGGACAGACAGGGATCCTGAACAGCCGCAAAGCCGCGTCGAGGCCAGGTTCCCCGGTGGGATTCCAAGCCTGGCCCCGAGATGGTTGTTGCCAGCGTGGGTTCGGGGCCTTCGGGCTTCTGGGGCTTTGGGTAGACTGGTAGACGGTTGCTTCGTTTCGCCAGTCTCGCTCTCCCACGGTCAGCCTTGCAATTTCATCTTGGAGTTCTGGGATTTCAGGCTTTGAGAAGGTGGCGCAGCAGCTGCAAGCGCTTGAAGCTTGAAGCTGCGAGGTACAAGCTGAATCATGACCCTGGTCTGCCAATCGATGCGTCTGCTGCTGCTGGTGAGACCCGTCCCGAGGTGACGATTTCTACATAGGTGGCGGTGGAGACATGATGGGCGGGACTCAGTCTCTGCCCCGGCCCGAGCCCGCAGTCTTGGTGGCTGGTCCGTTATCCTTTTCTCCATCTATGGGTCTGTTGATGTACACGCCGATCCCGAGCATCGTCTGACATGCATGGTTCACGACAACAGTTTTACATTGGCTTCATGCCTGCTCAGGAACAGCCCGAAGGTGACCTACATCAAACCTGGAGGAATCGCTTTTGTGCGGTACCCAACAACCCAGCTAGGCCAACAAATATGATGATGATGATGATGATGATGATGATGATGATTATGATGATGATGACGAAGATGAATATGAAGATGAAAAAGAAGAATAATGATAATATGATGATGATGATTATGACGAGCACTTGTGTTCTGACTACAAGCCTTGAGCCTAGCCTGAGCCGTAGCATAAGTATTCGCTCAGTGCATCTCAGTTACCCGCGCGGGTGCGGCAAGTGATGGCAAGTGCTGCAGTCTTTGGTGATTGAGTTGCAAGCGGTACATGTTGTACACTTCAGTTGCCAAGCACTCCTACACTGACATGATACGGCCGCAATCCACAGTGCCCAACCAGCCGTTCCTTCATTTGTTGCCATGAAATTTCAGCGAGCTTGGCAGCCGCGAAACTTAGGGGCAGGGAGTGCGCGTTGGCGACGAGGTCGTCGGCAGCTCAGTACTTGCCAGGTGCAGCCATTCATCATGTTCTACACCTCAATTTGTAGAATCCATCTTCGATGGTATAGCTTGCTGCTCAACTGCTGCACTACTCGCGAGACCGGCGCATACAAAGCCGACGTGAACGTGCTGTTTTCGGCCACTTTGCAGCAGTTTGCACTAGACGGTGGAAAAGGCCTGACTGGCATCGACTCTACCGCTGAAGGAATCTGTCACGAAGCGGTCTGTTGGGTATTTCAGCTGCTCCAGAGGCGCATCGATCCTGTAACCCACGAAGCTTCGGAACCACCCAGGAAGGACAGCTCCGGCGGATGGATAATGTGGACAAGGTGTTGAAGAAGATCGCAGCTTCGAGCCTTTGGCAAAGAGTTGTGTTTGCATGCATGCAGGCATGCATTCGTGCATGCAAGAGTGTGTCTGTGCATGTATACATACATATACACACAAACACCTATGCATGCACATGCACATGCATCGTACGTGCAGCCTGCTTTGGTGCCCCTGAACTTGAGTCGTGCTCCTGCCATAGAGCCGTGCGAATTTGGGGTGGAATCGCGCTTTGCTTGGCCGTCAATTTCCTCGAAGTATAGTCCAGGGTTGCAATTTTCCGGGGTTGAATCGTGCGCCCGCCCCAGAGCCACACACGTGTTCTGGGCTGCGCATCGTCTTCCCACCGCAGTCCGGTGCATTTCTGGATCCCGAAATCGTGCTGTTGGCACCCTGACGTACGGGGTGCGTTGTGGGTTCGCGCATGTCGCCGTGCTCGCAAGCAAAGTGTGGACTCATGGGTGTGGTCTTCAGAGCCTCGCGGCGTTCCGGGAATGCTTCTTGGGTGTGTGGGGCGTAGGTCGGCTGGGTGTGCTCTATCACAGTTTGGGGTCTGGCATAATCTTCTCGTGATCACGGTTGTGTTAGTCTTGCTCCTCATCGTTAATACATTTTTTGGACAGTTAAGGTTGAGAATTTGGGTTTGGCCCGTGGGCTGTGGGTCAAGTCGGTGATCTCGGAGAACAAGCTTGAGGCTGTAGAGTTTGGCGTCGGGCGGCGTCGGCTAGTTTCGGAGTCCCATGATTTGTTGAATCCCCCTACCTTTCGCATTTTTCAAGAACCCCGAAGCCATTCGGTTTGCTTAGCTCCACAGCTCCCCGCGTCACTTGAGTCCTGGCCACTTGCAAGTGTCTTGGAAATCGCGTAACTAGTAGAGGTTCGTGTTCATGCCTGAGCCGCTGAAAGGGTTCTAGACCGAGGGGCTGCTGCGAACAGTCCTACAGCTGTGCTTACCAGGAGTGAAATCAAAGGTGCCGAGGCTGGACTTGGAATGTAATTTGCGCGCTGTCCGATTCAGGGTCTTCAGGGCTCAGGGCGTAGTGGATTCAGGGTTTCGGATCTTGTGTTTGTTTGGTCGTTTGGTGTCGAGGGTTCTCGGTCGGGGGGTTTAGGTTTAAGTGTATTTCTTGATTTGATGGGGAAGGGCTCATGTTCCGTAGTGGAAGAGATGGACATTTATCGGTTGACTGGCTTTCGGCTTTCGGCTTTAAGATGTCCGGATGAGACCTTTTTTTGCATGATTTTCTTTGCAGAGCCTATTGGTTTCCTCTTGACCGGCCAATGCGTGAGGCTCCAAGCTCGGCAAAGGCAGACACAGCACATGGTTGTTCTTGAATTGCATGGTTTGGCCGCCTTTGCTTGCAGAACAACGCGTCTTTCAAGTGAAAACAAGGGCAGTGGAGTCTGACTCTCAATGCATGCAAGCAGAATAAACGGTGTTTTTTGGCGGCTACTTGTGTGGCACGAAGTTCACGTGAACTTCTAAGCGTTGGAGCAGATGACAAGCCTCTGCTCCTTTCTGGCGGCCTGAGGGGGGAATAGCCGTGATGACAAAAAATGCTCTCAGGTTGGAGATGAAAGGAAGACAGGGAATTTGTGGCACGGGTTCAGCTGTTCGAAAACTGGTTGCTGATCTGGAAGCTTGGTTTCTTTTGGAGGCTTCGCCGGGTTTGATCATCGAGTTCCGTGCAAGAGGAACTGTCGGTTGCTCAGACTTCAGTCACCTTTGGACGACCACGGAAAGTCGCCAGGCTCTTCTTTTCCTTGGAGCCAATGCAGGTCCAGCCGGGCGAACCCGCTCCCGACTTCAAGTTGCCTGCCAGCACCGGGGGTGAGGCCCTGCCCCTGTGTCCAAGCCTCTTTTGTGGGAGGGACCCTTGGGTTCCCCCCCCCGCTTTCCGCCTTTTGATTTTTGTTGCGTCTGTGCGCGGCCAGCTCTCTTTGAAAGAGCTCCTCGAAGGCAACGAGCCCGGCTCCGAGAGTTTTCTGCTAGCTCGCTCGAGCTAGGCAGCTGGGCCCTCTTTGGGGCCCAGCGCCGACGTTGCAAGCTGTCGCAGATGTCTCGAGGTATCTGGTGATGTTTTTCCGTCCCTCCAGTCGCTTCAGAGGCACGGAATGCCTGCTCCGAGCTTCGAGGGATTTCGAGGGCTTCGGGGGAGGGAAAGACGGAACTTCAGATCCCGACAGGTGGAGGCCTGGAGGAGGTCAAGGCTGCCCGGGAGATTTCAGACGAGAGCTTACCACCCGGACGAAGTGATGAGTCTAGGCCTGGGGTCTTTAGCAGGCCGTGGGTGTTCCACGGCCAGCCCTGATCTTTTCTTCCAGTCCCTGAACGCATTTCTTACGGCCGCTTCTACCGTCTGCGTAGGAAGGGATCGTTGCTGCCTGCATCGGAAAGTGTTAAGATATTGCCGCCAACTCAACTGCCTCCTCCACGACATCCGTCCCGATCTCTCATGACTCGCTGATTGAGTGTTGCGGTGTCGAAGAGCTCGCTTCGCGCGACGTACTGTCGATAGACATCCCCAAACCCCCGTAGCTGGCCTATGCTGGCCTCGCACCTCAAGTGGAACGCAACGGAGGGCGTAGCTTGGAATCAAATAGCTGCATTCCATGTGCCAGTACTTCAATCGAGCGCAGAAAGCTGTCGGCCCAGCCTGACGGGATGTGAAAGCTTTGAAGAGGGCTCGTTTGCAAAATCTTCTTGTTGCGAAGAGAGGAGATGCGTGCCGAGCAGTCCAGCATTGCATCGTGCCTAATAGCTCTCGGGCTGGCTTTAAGGCTCTCGCAGAAAGAGGAGCGACCGTCGTCGGGGTCCGGCTGCCAGTTTTCGGCTTCCTGAGACGGCTGTGAAGGTTCTGTCCTGCTGGTCGCTCTTTGTGAGACCCCGCTGTGTTCTGCCAGATACAGCGGGAGCCGCTCAAGGCGCTCCAAACGCGACTGAGACTTGTAAAGCTTCAGTCGTAGCATTGGGTGCGTGTACGCTTGAAAGCTGGGAGAGTGGATGGCAGTTCATGGGGAGTCTGACAGGGCAGCTGAAGCTCTGAATACATGCACTAAAGATCCAGCTCTCGCAACCATAGTTTTCTCAGTTCCGCAGTTCTTGAAGTTGAAATGCTTCTGCTGCTGTTCAGTCCTGAACTCTGACAGGCCCAGCCTACACTGGAAGCTGAAGCCTTGCTGAAGCGTCTAAGATCAGTCGACCGGAAGAAGGCAGCCAAAAAGTAAACGCCTATGCCCCAAACCTCAAGTGGGCTCTCGGACCAAGGCAGTCGAAGGGCCTGGACCTAAACTTCCCTTTGCTCTGCGATGTGAAGGGGGAGGCGAGGACTTATGATTTAAGTGTGAGGTTTTTGTCCCTGCGAAGGTCGCTTAGGGTTTGTGATTTGTGGTTTAGGGTGTCATTCGGCAGATGGTACGATCAGCCAAGACCGATTACGATTCCGATGCTGCGATCGGTGATGCTCGTGGAAACATGGTCCCAAATTATCGACCATCAGAAATATGGCCGTCCTTTTTTCAGGGCTTCCATGCCAAAGTTCCGCGGACTCGGAAGTTTGGTTGCAACGCCCCCGCCATGTGTTTCCAGGCTTCGGAGTCTGTTGAGAGGAAGCTCGTACCGGTTTGCCTGCAGGTTGCGAAACTCTACGGGGCCTATATCGAGCTGGAAGAGCAAGGCCACGTGCTGGGGAAGGGTGCGGATGGTGCGGTCCGGTGGGGTACCAAGGCTGTAACTTCTGTGCTTCAGAGCTTTACCTCGGAAGCCCATTGGCCTTTGTGTCCCTCTTAAGTGCTCCAAGCGGCCTGCAATGTCCCCATGTGCACACTGAGCAGGTCCTAACACAGACCGAAAGACTTTCATCATAGGCAAGGACGGCTTCGTCAAGGTGGGCGGGGCTGATCAGATCAGTTCTGCTTGCTGGGGCACGTCTGCTTGTGTCTCAAGCTCCGCAGCGGGGGCTCCTTGCCTTGAGCCTTTGGCCTTGCTTTCAGACCGCTTTCGTCGCTGTCGGGTACGACGCTGACAAGTTTGCGCTTCAAAACCACGTGGCAGATGCTTTGACCTGAGGCAAGAAGATGTTGAACCTGTCCACACACACTGGATTCACGTAGATCTTGATGCCTGAAAGCCTTGAGCTGTCTGGCGAGCGAGCAGCGAGCAGCGTAGGTAGCAAAAGGCAGAATCTAAACGACATGAAGCATCTGAGGGCGGCATAGGAGAACTCTGCGCCCCAGAAAGGCAAGACCACGGTTTTTTCAACCATCCGCCAATTCTGATCCGAGGTGGTTCGTGTTCTGGGCCCGAAGCTTGGCCTTTCCAATCCTTCCCGAACAGTTTGCTGCAATTTGGATGCGAGACGTCTCGGAAACACCAATTCCCAGTCGCGAGCTGCGGCAGACCGTATCCAGCAAGCAAGACTTCACCCTTTCTTGTGCTGCAAATCTAGCTCAACATCGTGAACCCGAACCTTCATGGACACTCTCCCCCACGTCTGACACTCTCAGGTGGTGATCCCAAGAAGGCGAAGGAAGACATCCAACCAAAGCAGTGCTTCCCAGACAGCGGTGGCTGCAAGGGATCTAGGATGATTTAGGAATTTAGGCATGTCTAGGCACTCTGGCAAGTTCAGGGAAGTCCAGCCCTTGGGGTGTAAGCTTCCGGGACCAGAAGCTTCAAGATCTGTGGGTACTTGGCAGCATGGTACTCGTACACGCCGCAGAGGCCCTGAATCAACCAAGGTCTAAGACTGTGGGAGACATGCTGGACATCGCATTCGGCGTCAAGAAGCCCAAGCTGTGACGAGCCAGGCCTGGAAACGGGTGTCCAGGGTGCTCTGTGGGCATCGGGCTGAGATTGCAGTTTCAGAACACTTCTAACGGACTTCTAGAAGCATCGGCAAGCGTGCTCAGAAGTGTGACTTGCCAGCCAGAAGCTTGCTGCTGCACTCACTTCTTTTGCGTGCTGTGACTCATGCTAGCACTGTTGGCAGGACACCTGAGGTGACACAACGGCGAGATAGCCGACAAATTGTTTTGCAAGCTGTCTCGCTGTATCTGTTTCTATGCTTTTAATAAGAAGGAATCCTGCGCTGGGCCTCAGTGTGGAGATGGGCATGATGTGGCCGCAAACACCCCCCCCCCTAAACCCTAAACCTATTCACGTAAGCTCAACATCCCGGCAGTTAGGAAGGATTATCACTGCCAATGGTCACTTCAGGAAGGAGAGCCCTTGCGCCAAACCAAGAAGGCGTGCTGTGAAGCCAAAATGCCGGCATCTCTTGGCGTGTACGTGGTGGTATCAAGAATCTTCTGAATACCTCTCATACTGCTGTGACCGCCATGATGAACTTCATGAGTGTGGTTCAACTAGTTAGCATATGTACGTATATATATATATATATTATATACATATGTATATATATATATATATACATATTTGTAGCCAGTCCGATGGGTACTTATGGTATGACTACTGTGTAGGAGGAGTAGGAGTAGGTAGGTAGTAGTAGTAGTAGTAGGAGGTGGTAGTAGTAGCAGCAGTAGCAGCAGCAGAAGTAGCACAAGAAGTCAGGGCAAGAGGTATATTAGTAGAATTGGGTCTGAGATAGGAATAGTACTAGGAACGTCACCAGCAGTCAGTTAACAAGGCCTCGAAGTTTTCGCCCGTGAAGATGTCTTGTAACACGCTTGCCGTTTCTTTTGCGAAGCAACCGGCACTTTGCAGCTGTTTCTGGTTCCCGGTTGCGCGACCTGCTGCCGAAAGCCACACCCATGAGGCGCACCGGATCGGCATCTCGCAAAACCTGCCTCAGCATCACGACTCGTGCTTGATAGTTGGACGACTTTAACTTTAAACGGCTTACATATCTGGCATGCAAGTCGAGCTGCGGCCGGGGGTGGCCCAGACATGGATTCGGACCTAGAAAAGGCTCTCGATCTCTCAGGCCCGTTCGAAGAGCTCCGCTGCTGGCGCTGGCGGTCGCTTGCCTTAAACTCTACAAATTCAGAGTCACTAGTGTAAAACACAATTTATACCAAGTAAGTTCCATAGTGAATCATGAATGAGTTGTAGCACAAACTCGCCTGTAGGAACGCGCACGAGTAAAATGGTAGTCATCATCTTCAGCAGCAAACATAGATGCACAACCAGTCAGAAGTGAGCAACAAAGGCTTGATGCAGACAAGATTTAACGAAGCTTGTGAATAGTAGATAGCGAGGAGAAGGGACACGACAAGAAACGACGGGCGGCCATAAGCAGCATTGCCGGCAGACCTATTACACAAGTTTTCATCTGTTTGAATGCCGTAGTCCGACAAATACAGCATGCTGTAGTATCGCAATGTATCGCAGCCACGCGCAACATAGTAAAGCTTAGTCTAGTTGTCCGTAACACTTTGCACACAGCAGAATATCAATGTATTTGCTTGGATCTTTCCACTTGACGAGTGCGGCAGGTAGGAGCCGGGCTGCTGTGCCAATGGTCGGCGTTGAGGCTCACGGTCGGGGAGCGACCGGCAGCTCGTGAGTGTCCGCTGCGTCTGTTCTGGAGTATGTCGCATGTGTATCCGAGGGTCAGTCTCCTCAAATCTGCTGAACTTTCATCTGCAAGCCCCTGCTCTGCACATGAAACCAAGCCTCGTGCTGGTAGTTTTGGCTTCCGAAGGTTGACATGTGGTCCAAAACGGCACACCGCTAATAACCGCCAATAGCACCTCCTCTCCCGCAGACCTCCGTGCGCATGGCTGGAGCCAACCCCTCGGGCCTGAACCTCGTGCAAGCGAAGGGCCCTGTGTCAGCGTTTCAGTCTTGGCATTTCAGGATGGGATTTTTTGACTTTGCCCTGCACATAGAGTCCCCATCATCCCGATGCAGTCACAGCGCATTTTATTCCCATAATTTTCGAGTAATGTCCCGACGTTCAGGACCCAGCGCTCCCTGCTCACACCATGCTGCAAGTGTGGCTTGTGGCGGTTTGGCAGAGTCCAATCAGGAGGCATGTCGCCCGAAGCCTGAAATCTGCCCTTCTGACGTGCTTGAGGCTGCAGACAACCTGCAGTTGCCTAGACGGGAGGCGCTGTGCACTGCCGCTCTGATTCATGTCAAGATTGCCTGGAGCCTTCATCCACCTCACGCACCAAAACTGTGTGGTGGCACCTAAAGCACACATGCACTGTACACAAGGGTGCATACGTACCCACACACCAGACAAACACAGACAAACAAACAAACAAACAAACAAACAAACAAACAAACAAACAAACAAACAAACAGACGGACAGAGAGACAGACAAACACCGTCAAACACCTCACACCAGCTGCTCTACGAGAAATCACACCTCGCCGCTTCTGCTTTGGGCTCGCTGGGTGCGGAGACCCGACACGCCGCCAGCGCCTGGCGGTCGAGGCAAATGCCCCATTAGTTTGCCTTTGGTCATGCTGGTTTCGTGGTCAGGCAGAATGCCTGCAGCCATGGGAGACGACAAGGCTCGCAGTCCACAGAACGGGCAGTGGGCGGCTTTCTGTTCTGAGGGTCGACGACTGAAGGACTTGCGTGGAAACTGAAAATTAGCGTGAAGAGCTTTGATTGAGCACTCACTGTCAACAGGGCAAAGGTGTCGCTGCCGACATGGAGGTGATGTTCGACATGTCGAAGAAAGAGCAGGCGAAGCGCTGGTCAAGAAAATGATGCAACATGCAATGGTGTTGCGTGTCAGGGCAATCCTTCCAACAACTACAAGAAGCTGCATCGGCGCATCAAGCAGGATTACAAGGCAGGGCATCCCCAACATCCTCCGCTGTTTGCGAGAGTCTAACGGGCCACCCGTTCCGTCCGGCTGTGCAAATCAAGCGGGAGTGTGTCAAAAGTAGTGTCTTCCATGCACTGGAAGTGCTGCTTGCCTGGGCGCATCTGTTCAATCAGTATGACACTATTCCCCCCGTAGCTGAAGGGCGTCGTGTATATTAATTGCAACCTGTACAGGTCTCCACCAACAAGGAGGTCATCAACATCGAGAGGTGGAGCAGACCTGCATTATTTTATATTAATATACTCACACGTGAGTAAGTAAACAAATCAGTAAGTAAGATTAAGTAAGATTAAGCAAGTATGTAAGAAAGGCTGAGTATGCACGCATATCTGTATGTACGTATGCATGCATGCATGCATGCATGCATGCATGTATGTGTGTATGTGTGTATGTATGTGTGTATGTATGTGTGTAGGTATGTACCTAGTTGTATGTATGCATGTATGTATGCAT